TTACTTGGAGCATTCAAAGCAAGTAATTGATTTAAAATATAAGGCATTGTGAAAGAGGCTGTCTAGACACAAATGGGCCACCATTGTCATCAATAGATGATGCTGATGCTAAAGGATGTTCATTATATTGAAAAGAAAAAAAAAGCAGGTAAACTTTATTTTCCTTAAGGGCGATTAACTCAGCTGAACAGTGATTTTTCTAACAAGCCAGTAAGACACATTTTCAATGGCTACTCATGGCACAGTTCCCTTTTCTTATGCTATCTAGAACACTTGCATATCCAGTTATATTATAGAAACATAAATGCTGAAGTGAGGAGGACTGTTATTTTGTAGTTGATGAAACTAAGGCCCAAAGGAAGATGGTAACTTGCTTCAAGTCATCCACTGAGTTTGTCACAAAGTCACCTGGAGCTCAGCTTTCTTACTCTCTGCTCCTGAAAGGCTCTTTTCCCTGCCCCAGGAAATACACATCTGATAAGACACCGGTAGTAGTGTTAGTCTGAATCTCCCTGTAAACTCTAGTGCTAGCTGGAAAATAGGTAGTGAATGTTAATTCCAGATTCATAGCAGAAAATCACACTCTTCTTCCCAATGTATCTTCTGATTCTAAATTCATTAGTCATGTACTTTGCCTACTCAAATCTATTTTCCTATATTAGTTTTAAAACAGGACAATTGTGCTAAAAAGATTTTGTTCTTCAGGACTCTGTGTTGGAAATTTGTAATAGTATATAGTTTCTAGGAAATGTTAATATTGCCATTTTTAAATTTAGGTTCATAGACAAAAGTCATAACTTCACCAACTTTCTAACCCCCTAGGGAACTGTTGTTATTAAAACAGATGGCTATTGTTCTCTACTCACAGGACCATATCATGCTTCTTATTCAGGAGAAAAGAACTATATTTTTGTAAACTGGTGAGACAGGAAATAAATGATACCACGCATAATGAGATCTGCGTTTACTTCAACCACCCCGGACAGTGAGAATTCACTGATTCCTTCTGTCTACATCTCCCCTCCATTACCCCAGCAGCTTTATTCCGTTCTGAGGTATTCTCAGAAGACAGAGTTCCAAGGCTTGCTAGATGAAGTTTTCCAAAGAAAAGACGCAGTAGAATTTTGATACTTAGCAAAGGGTCCATTAAGAGAGAACAGGAAAAAGGCCACGTGAAACGAGTTGAACTTATCAGAGTTAAATAATGTTGCTTTAGAATAGAGACCAGTAATTTTTTTAATGTGAACATACAGATTTTTATTTTTCCCTATACAAAACTTTAATTTTTGTTTATAGAATCTAAACATAGATTTCTATGTTAATTTCACATTATAGCAAAATCACTCCTAATCTTAATGCAAAGAGTTAAAATACAACTTAAGAACTGGTAAAGATAAGAAATGCCTCATAGGGGCAAAACTAGGAGGGGAAAGGGGACTCAAAGACAGAAAAATTATTTTCATACATCAGAACATGATAATGCTTTTCTTTTCATAATTTAATAGATGCTCAAATGTGTGACAAGACTGGCTATTCCTCTGGTTTGGGGAAATGTAAAACAACATGGCCCTTGGTTTGTTTTTAGAGAGCCTTTCCCGTTTTCTTTGCCACTAGAATTACAGGGGAAGCTTTCATCAGAATTACAATCTTCTTTGAGAAGTTGAGCCTTGATGAGCTGCTGGTTGACCTAGAGGCAACCCGACCTTCCGATGAGAAGCAGCACTACAAAACCGCTCTAATAGATGTGGCAATAAAGGAGCGAAGGCTGCCGTGCATCCATTCCGCTGCACACGCCACCCGTGAACACTGTCATGGCAAGGTCAGGCTTTTCTCAGCTCTTCTCCGTCCACCCAGGGGATGAAACCTTCTTAATAATGCAGACACTGAGAAACAGATATTCTCTCTGTTGTATCATAACAGGGTGTCTGTTCATCTGTATCAGCACATTCATGGGAGCCTCGTTATCGATTTAGGATGGCTGTATATTTTATTGTAGTGGTGAGAGACCTCCACAATGCATCAAATGAAAGCCGGGCTTGCCTACTAAAAAATATATGGCAGCCAACACATTGGCCAGGGAGACAGCAGTTAAATCTTCCAGGCTTTCAACTCCAGCTGAGCCCTAAAGGAATGTAAAATACCTTGCCGCGTATAT